TTGATGATTTGATCGCACGAGCAAGTCTATACGATATTTTTAGACTTGCGTGCATGCTCGGTTTGGATCCTCGAAGGCTCGGATGAGTGTTGGATAGGCTATGGGGTGAATTGGACTTAGGAAGTTTCAGATTTTTTATCTGGTATGTGTTGCAGGCTCTGATCTCGCAATTGTGAGGTCAGATGTCGCAATTGCGAGCCTATCAGGCCTGGGAATTGCGAGGACTTCATCGCAATTGTGAGGAAGTCTGGCCATCCTTTGATCGCATTTGCGATCTTCCCCTTCGCATTTGAGAAGTCATCAGGGGAGGTTAGTCATTGCAATTGCGACTAATTGTTCGCAATTGCGAAGAGAACAGGGAAGGCCTACCTTCGCGTTTGTGAAGCCTGGGCAGCATTTGCGAGTTCGCATTTGCGAACCTGTTATCGCAAATGCGATAACTGCGCCTGTGTAATTCCAACTTAGACGGAATTTTCTTCATTTTTCAAACTCCCTCAAACCCTAAGCTCTCTTGGGCGATTTTCTAAAGAAAGTTTCTTCCCCAAATAATAGGTAAAAAACTTCTAACTTATTTTCTTCAATCTATAACATCTTTTTACATGATTTCAATTTAAAATTAAGGGTTTTTCATGAAAAATTGGGTGTTTTTGGGTAGAAGTTAGGATTTTCAAATTTTGGGGATTTAGACCTCGATCTGAAGTCCGATTTCAAAACTAATTTACATATTTGAGTTTGTGAGTGAATGGGTGATCGGGTTTTAGTTCGAACTTCGGGTTTTGACTAAGCGGGCCCGGGGTTGATTTTTGACTTTTTGGAGAAATCATTAGAAAACCTATTTTCATGCATTAGAATTGGTATATTTAGCATTTATTGATATCGTTAAGTAAATTGTGACTAGATACAAGTGGATTGGAAGTGGAACCGAGAGGTAAAGCGGTAGTAGAGGCTTAATCTTGTTCGTGGAATCGAGGTAAGTGTTTGGCCTAACCTTAGCTTGAGAGAATAGGAGTTGTGGTCTATTTGTTATGTGTTTGTATCGAGTACGACGTATAGTTGTGTGACGAGTACCTATATGTTGGTGTCAAGCATGCCCGTGAGTCTTATATCATGATTGTTGTGACTCCATTATGTATCGATCATGCTCAAATTGATGATTATAAATGTTGAACAAAGCTTATGAAAGTTCCTGGTAATTGATTATTGTTGAGTATTGGCTCAAGTTGAGTTTCATTATGTGAAGTAATTGTTGAAAACGAGATTGGTTATAGTTGAATCCCTTGTCGGGATATCATTATTGATATTGTTGATTCCCTTGCCGGGATATTATTGTTGATATTGTTGCTTCCCTTGTCAAGATGAATTGTTTTTATTATTTGGGTGAGGAAAAGTGTAAAGCACGAAGGATGATGCCGTGCATGATATGGTGAATGAGTGTAATGCACGAAGGGTGATACCGTACCGATATGATGAGTGTTAATGTACGAAGGATAATGTCGTGCCATGATTTGAGAGTTAATACACGAAGGAAGATGACGTGCCGATATTGTGAGAAATAATGCACGAAGGGTGATGTCGTGCCATGATTATGTGAGGTAATGCACGAAGGGTGATGTCGTGTCGTATCCTATGGTGAGGATGAGAGTAAAAGCACGAAGGGTGATGTCGTGCACGTGTTACTGCTTCCTTATTCCTGTTGATATTGGCATGATGTTCATTATGCTTCGTTATAAATGCTTCTTTATTGGCTCATTGTTAGAACCTGTTAATCCCCGTAGCATGTCCCCTTCCCACTTTATCCTGTTGATTCCTGTTATTATGATTCTGTTTGTATATGATTTAACTATACAGGTTTATTTGGCTGGTGTGTCCTAGCCTCGTCATTACTTCGCCGAGGTTAGGCTTGACACTTACCAATAGATGGGGTCGGTTGTACTGATACTACACTCTGCACTCTTTTGTGTAGATTTCGGTACTTGACCCAGTGAGTAGCTGAGGTAGCTGCCTTCAGTCCAAGGGGACCAGGGTAGATCTGCTGGCGTTCGTAGAGCCTGAAGTCCCCCTTCCTTGTTTGTTGTCTCTTTTCTTTCCGAGAACAGTCGTATTTCCTTTTCAGACCAGTATTTGTAGTAAATTCGTAGATGTTCGTGAAGTTGTGACACGAGATTTGTGTGTAGACTGGTAGTGGTTTATGTGATCATGTTATAACTCTTCCGCATTTATAGTCTGTTTAACTTTAGTTTTTGGCTTATAACTATTTGGGTTGAATGTTGAATGTGTAGAACTTTAATAGTTGGCTTGCCTAGCTTTCACGAGTAGGCGCCATCACAACTCCTAAAGGTGGAAAATCCGGGTCGTGACAAGAAGTGACAATGGTGTGAGCTTTTTAACTCTCAGATGACAGACCTCTTATAGAATCTAGGCATAGTTCATCAGAGTTCATGCACCTACACTCCACAACAAAATGGAATTGCAGAAAGAAGGCACAGACACATCCTTAATGTAGCTAGGGCCTTGAGGTTTCAAGCAGCTATTCCACTCTGATTTTGGGGAGAGCGTGTACTCATTGCAATATATCTTATCAACACGCTGCCTACATCAGCTCTCAAGGACAAATCTAAGACTCCTTTTAAAGTATTGCACAATAAACCTCCCAGCTTAGATCATCTACGAGTGTTTGGGTGCTTAGGCTATGTTACTGATCTGAGGAAGGCAAATAAATTCTCGCCTAGAGCCGTCCCAGTTGTATTTCTTGGTTATTCTATAACATAGAAAGGGTATAAGATATATACTATTCACTCTAGAAGCTTCTTAGTTAGTAGAGATATGGTATTCAAGGAAGATGTTTTTCCTTTTCAATACTTAGATACCCTGGTTACATCTTTGTTTCCTATACTGGATCTATCTACTCTTCCTAGTCCAGAGTACAGGCGAGATATCCCTACTCCAGCTACATCTCCTGCATATTCTACCATAGTAACTGATGAAGCGACTATAGCACCCTCAAATATGCATGTTTCTTTTGATGGAAGTTCACCAGTTCCATCTATGGATGCAATGCCCAATGGAACTGAGCACAATGCTCCCATACAGACTGCATCTGACACAGGAAGAAAGTTAGTCAGAGTAAGCAGACCACCTATTTGGCTGAAAGATTATGTTACTCAAGGCAAAGGGAGTGTCAACTGTTGTTATCCTATGTCCAACTATGTGAGCTATGACCATCTCTCTGCTTCATTCAATACTGCTCTAGCAGATTACTCCTCTATTGAGGAACCTAAAACCTATCTTGAAACATTCAAAAATCCCAACTGGATTGCAGCCATGGAATCTAAGATTGCAGTATTAGAAGAAAACAAGACATGGAGTATTGTTGATCTACCTGCTAGCAAGGTTCCAATTGGCTGTAAATGGTTGTTCAAGGTCAAGTACACAGCCTCAGGAATAGTAAAGAGATACAAAGCCAGGCTTGTGGCTAAGGGTTACAGTCAATAAGAGGGCCTAGATTACACTGAAACATTTTCACCTGTGGCAAAAAATGGTGATTGTTAGGTATGTGATTGTTGTTGCTGCTGCTAAACACTAGCCTATATTCCAAATGGATGTACACAATGCATTCCTACAAGGAAATCTTCTAAAAGAGGTCTATATGAATATCCCTCAGGGGTTTGCTAGCCAGGTAGGGTATCATAGAGTCTGTAAACTACATAAGTCTCTATATAGACTTAAGCATGCTCCAAGACAATAGAATAAGAAGTTGACTGATGCACTACTGAAACTAGGTTTTACTCAAAGTCATTTTGACTATTCCTTATTCACAAAGCACATACTAAGGAGTTGGTTATCGTGCTATTGTATGTAGATGATCTCCTTCTAACTGGAAGCTATAATAATTTGATTCTAAAGACAAGGAGTGACCTAAAGCTGAAGTTCAAAATAAAGGACTTGGGAGAGCTTAAGTTCTTCCTTGACATAGAATTTTCCAGATCAGACAAAGGGATTGTCATGAGCCAAAGAAAGTATGTCCTAGAACTAATTTCAGAAATGGGACTCAGAGGTGCTAAGCATGCTGGTGCATGCACCATCGTAAACTAATGTGAAGTTGACCTCTATTGAGTATGATTCATTTGTCAAAAATAATGAAGCTATTGAGGACAAGTTACTCACTGATGCAAGTTCATACCAAAGGCTTATTGGCATATTACAGCATTTGACAATGACTAGAGTTGATATTGCCTTTGTAGTGCAAGTGCTAGTTTATGTACAAGCCTAAGCCGTCACACAAGGAAGCTGCTCTAAGGGTAGTAAGGTATATTAAAGTTGTGTGAGCGAGTAATTTTTGTCTCACCGAAAATACTCCTACAAAAATCAATAAATAGATTTTTTTCCTAATTGTTTTTAATTTTTTATAGAATTTTTAGGAATATTTGTTAATTCTTTGCATGTAGTCGCATTTTTGTGCACTTTTATAAATATAAAATCATGAAAAATACCAAAAATATTTAATTCTTCATTGCATAGAATTTTAGGTCTTAATTGCATCAGTTAATTGTATTATTAAACAAAAATCAACAAAAAATACCATGGTCCTTCTATATTTTTAGTTTTTAGTCTTAATTTGTTAATTTCCTTGTAAGTAGTTTAAATTAATTAATTGTTCAAATGTTAGAAATAGTTAATTAGTTTTATTTTACAAATTAGATTTTTAATTTAGGACTTAATCTAGGTTGTTTAATTAATTATTTTAGGGCTTTTAAAACAAAAGAAAAGAAAGAAGGAAAAAAGGAAAATAAAGAAAAAGAGAAGAATACCTTTTCAGTTTTAAATCAAATTAGGCCAGGTCCCTTTGGCCCAATTCTTCTCCATCCGCCCAAGCCCCAAAAAACCCTGCCCGATCTGGTCCACACCCCAACCATACGACCCCGTTTTGTAGACAGTGGATCTAAGCCGTTTAAAATCTTTAGTCCAACGGCTCCAAACTGATCTCTCAAAATCCCATTTAACTGTCATAACACCCCCCTCCCCCCCCAAACCAAGAGACCTTCCCCTTTCACCATCTTCATCACCTCTCTGAGCTTCCGCCAACAGGCGCTGCCGGAAATCACCCACAGCGGCAGCCAGTCACGAAATCACCCCAATCTTTACCACATAGTCCCCACACCTCCCTCCTCACTAGTATCTCACTAATTTTTCCAAAATCCCCACCCATCTTCTCCAATTTCGGATATAAGAAAGTCAGAAAAAACCTAAATTTGATTTTTATGGAAATTTCAAGAACGTTTTGGGTCAAACTTACATCTTACATGAGTTGATTGCTCTTGACACGAGCAATCGATTCATGTTAGTTTGGTTCATTTTGAAAGTCACCGGATGGTATTCCCATGGCAATGACCGCCAAAGTTTCATCGCCTTCATCGTTCGTCGATATTCATTTCTGGACAAAATCAGTATACCCCTCCTCTCTTGTTCCTTTGTTTCTTTTTCTTTTTCTGTTTTGAAATTATCAGTTAATGTTTTAATTTCTTATTTATTTTGTTTAATTGATTCCATTGTCTAGCTAATTGCGGGATCGTTACTTTAATCGCATATGTTTAGGCTAATCAAATTAGTTCGGTGATTTAGTTAGGTTTAACTAGTAGTTTTGTTTCTGTTCTGTTTGGTCTTTGATTTGGTTTTAATTGTTTGTTTGTTAATGTTGAGTATCAATTGGAATTAAATGGTTGAAAGAGTAATAATAGAAACTTTAAGGGAGTTAATTGGAAGCTAAAATCAAGAAATCTAAGGCAGTAATACATAAAATTGCTAAATGAGGGATTAAAGTGCAATAAATTAATTAAGTTAAATCAGATTTTTGGAAAAAAAGTTGAATTTTCAGAAGTTTAAAAGAGTTAAAATGAAAAGAAACTTCTAGAAAGGGACAGCTGTCCCAATATTGTTTAGATAAGATGCAAAATTTAAGTACATCTATCCGTACAAAAGATGTCATTTACCTGAATTTAAGGAAAGCTGGCAGATTCTTTTGTACCTGATTTTATTCCATCATAAGGTTTTCACATATTCTATATAAGGAGGGCACTTGCTGAATTTTCGGACAGACTTGACACACGATTTACACAAGAAAAACCCTGAGAAATTCAGAGATTGGTTTCTCCATTTTCATTGTGAGTCTTTTATTCTTCTGGGTTTGAAAGCTAGAAAGAGAAAACAGAAAACAAAGAAAAATAGAGATTTTCGGACTGCTTTTCTTCTCCATATTTTACTGGTTTTCTCCATGTTGCTGGGATTTTTGGATTGAGGTGTGAAGCTGTTGTATTGGATTTTCTGATGCTGTATTTTTGCTGTTGCTTCTTCCCAGTTTTCAGAGATCTATTTTCTTTTTTATTGTCTATTCTGCTGATAAAGGTACACATCTATGAACTCACATGTTTGAATTGGGCATAATCAAGTGTTCTTCTGTGATTTTTCAGGCATTTATGGTGTCTTTAGTGATGTGGTGTTTTAGATTTCACGTGAAAGGTTGTAAATGTTTAAGTGAATGAAATTGAAATCTGCTTGACCTTATTATTTTATTATTGCCCTTCAACTTCTCTAAAGCATATGCTATCTCTGTTAGGTCATGTTCTAATATCCCAGACTATTTTGAGCATGAATTCTAGTTCAAATATGTTCCTAATGTTGTACTAAGTAATGTTGGTAGTAAAATCGTGACAGGAAAAGGTTATTGCTGCAATAAACATGGTTGTAATTTATAGAGGTGACTACTAAGTTGGCTAAATCGGTGAAGCCAAACTCGGCCATCAGAGGTGTTTGAAATCATTGCATATTTTTCTCGATTGAATTTTTTTGATGTTTGGGACTGTAATATGAAACTTTGACATGTAATTGTAATTGAAATGATTTATGAAGTTAAATGTTAGAGTAAAGATTTGATTGCAAAGTACAAATGCAATGGCAATGACTCCAGTCGATTATTTTTCTGTTGTATGTTAAAAAAAATGTTCAACAATTAGTGTTAGAAATGTTAATAATTGTGCAGTCTGGCCTAATTATGGGCCTGAAATTCAAAAGGACCTAGAGCCCAATATTGAGGCTCACTTTCTCAAGACAGCTCATTTCGTTGTTGGGCTCAATGGGAATCCCAAGCACCTCATAGTTTGGGGCTTAATTTGCGTGAAGCACGACTGGGCCCAGGAATCAGCACATTCAAGGACCATAATGAGTTTATGCTCACCTAAAAATCGGATAATTGACTAAATAAGCGAACCTCTTTAATATTAACTTGTTGCAACCAATGTTTAGCCTATCTAATTGTGTTCCACATTTGTTTATCTCGTGACAGTCCAAATACATGAGCTTTAACCGAATTCTCATTCGGGAACCAAAAACAGAATCACAGCAAGCTTTTGAAATAATTCAAGCGTACTTCATCATGTAGGCCAAATCAATTGTGGACTCCAACAGTTCTTCACCATATCATGTGACCTCCAATAATCTCAAATAGGTTTAGGGAAATTAATTCAACTGTGAACTTTCCTAGAATGACTAATTTACTATCGTGGTTATGTACACGTTCGCGTGACATAATTACGATTTCTAAAATTAAATCAAGGTTGCGCGACCAAATAATTATAAATTAATAAAGCGTAATTAATTGTGTATACGTACGCGTGATATGGTTTTAGCACCCCAAATAAAGCGGACTTACACACATGTAGTCCGTTTCAAAGATTAAATCCATAAACGTCATAATTTAAAAGCGGTAAAAGGTTAAATACACATAGGTTCTCAAATATGTAATTAAACAATTTAATTAGTCCAGATATGATTAAAGCGGTCGTGCTAAAATCACGGAATCCGGGAGTGCCTAACATCTTCTCCCGGGTTAACAAAATTCCTTACCCGATTTTCTGGTTTCGCGAACTTTTAAAACAGAGTCAAAATTTCCTCGATTTGGGATTTAAAATAAACCGGTGACTTGGAATTCCATATAATTATCCCAAATGGAGACTCTAAATCAAATAAATAATCTCATTTCGATTAATGTCACTTTAATTGGAAAAACTCCTTATCCCTCGAGAAAAAGGAGGCGTGACAAGCTGCACCTGGACTTGGCCTTCTAATGTCAGCTCAAGGATCAGACACACTACAAGCCTTATGTGACTCAGATTGGGGAGGATGTTTACAAACTAGGAGGTCTGTTACTGGCTATCTAGTGAAGTTTGGCAATGCTATAGTGTCCTGGAAATCCAAGAAGCAAGACACTATTGCTAAAAGTTGAAGCAGAATTTAGAAGCATGACTTCAACTGTTGCAGAAATAACCTGGCTAACTGGTTTGTATAAAGAAATAGGAGTAACTGTGCAATAGCCTATAGATCTCTAATGTGATAGCAAAGCAGCCATTTAGATTGCAGTCAATCCTATATTCCATGAAAGGACAAATCGACATTGACTGTCATTTTGTCTGGGAGAAAATAGTTCAAGGAATTTTAAACACATCATGTGTCTACCAAAGAGCAGCAGGCTGATCTTCTGACTAAAAGCTTAGGGAAACTACAACATGACTATCTTGTATCCAAGCTGGGGTTGAAAAACAAATTTCAACCATCAGCTTGAGGGAGGGTATTGAAGAGTAAAGTTGTCAGTTAGGAAGTTAGTAGTCAGTTAGTTAGTTAGTAGTGACAGTAAGTTATAGTAGTAGCAGCAATTAGTGAATAGTTGTATATGTATGAGCTATGTGGTGTATTTGTAGTAAGATCAATTCAATGAAAAAATAGCTCATTTTCTTCTGCTCATCACTCTCTCTGTTCTCCTTCATATTCTTCAATTGATCCATGAGAACTTGCTCTAGATTTGATCACAGTTTATATATGAAAATAAATATGGTTCTAAAGTAGTTTAAAATTTGATTAGCTATAATTTAAATGTTTCTTGGCTATACTGCAGTTAATCTCAACTATAATTTTTTTTTTTTTTTTTTTTTTTTTTTTTTGCAGAAAATCTATAGTTTTATCTTGTTTATATGAGATAATTCGAAGGTCGGGTGGCTTTCTTTTTTAAAATGTTGAACACTCTTAACAAACAGTTGGGTTCATCTTTCATCTTTGGGTCATATATATTCTGATGATGTTATTCCTATCATTTATGCATCCTACTTAAGTTGTAGTTCTATCACGAAAAATTATCATATTACTATACTATATTATTGCCAAATATAAAAGAAAATCTAAGACAAGAAAAAATAAAGCGCAGAAATCAATTAAATTCTAATCATCTCCAAAGTATAACAATTTCGTAAAATATATTTCAGTTCAATAACAAATTGTATAAGTAGATGTAGCAGTAAGTGAACTTACAATCAATTGCGAGAGGCAAATTAAGTAAACCAAGGAATTAGCCGGACGATCTAGAATAGATAGATGGATGGAATAGTAGCTAGCAGTGTTAAGTCTCGAGATACCAAACACAGTATTATCGCCATGTCTCAAAATACGAATCCATTCAATAACTTAAATCTCTTCAACCGCTAAATGAAGTAATGGCTAACACTCTCAAATATTCAATAAACGATTTCTGAGGAACAATCTTAAGAAATTTAGATACTAAAAACCAATTCTATGTAAAAAATATCAGAAAACATATGTATCATCCTATCCATCATAGAATTGTCCGGCCAATAAGTTTGGTGACACATAAGAGGCCAAAGCAACGTTAGAAGCAGGGGCTCTTCAAACAGAGTGTAAAAGGTTTATTTCTTTTGGTAGATGGAGTACCCGGGCATTCTCTTATCTTCCCATTCCTCTAGGCTTCTATTTATAGTCTGAAGGTTTGTGACCTTTAACATTGTGTATGAAGCGTTGTGCTAGTTTGTAGGCGTTTGGTTTTTGTTAATTAGGTAATTAGGTTTTAATAAGTCAATAGGGTATTTAAGTACATAACAATGATAACTAGGATATTGTAGTAATTTAACTTTTAAGTTGGACGTTTCCTGTTCTTAATATATTAATTAATTAATAATAATAATAGTAACAATTATTATCATTATTAATATAGGATCAGCTATCTTAGTTCAAAGATTGTGAAAACTAGAATTGAAGTGTAGATCAAAGAAAAACAATCTAGGGCTTGAGAGCTTTTGAGAACGTTCTGGAGTAAGACATTTCTTCTATTAGTCAAAATGGCAAAAGCTGTAAAATGAGCATCAAGTCACCTATTTATACAATGGGCCAAAGTGAAAAATAAAACTAAACTAACAGACCACTTTTAGGCCCAAATACAAAATACACATAAATAATCTACACAAGCCCAATACTAATTGTGTTCACTATGTCACTCCAACATCCTCCTCAAGTTGGCGGGTGAGCCACTTTTAGGCCCAAATACAAAAATACACATAAATAATCATCACAAGCCTAATACTAATTGTGTTCACTATGTCACTCCAACATCCCCCTCAAGTTGGAGGGTGAGCAATTGCCCAACTTGCCAGCTAAAGAATGATGAGGAACACCTGTCAAACACTTGGTAAAGATGTCAGCTAATTGCAAAGCAGTAGGAATGTGAGACAGAGATTAATCCATCAGCTCGCTTAGTGCGTATAAAATGGCAGTCAACCTCTATGTGCTTCGTTCTTTCATGAAAAACTGGATTGCTTGCTATATGATTGCAGCTTGATTGTCACAAAAAACTGGAATAGGTGCAGAGAATATCAAACCCAAATCTGATAGCAAACGAACCAACCAAGACAATTCAGCAACAACCTTACTCAGGGCACGATATTCAGCCTCCGCGGATGATAAGGAAACTACATGTTGTTATTTGGACTTCCAACTAATCAGACTACCACCCAAGGTGACACAAAAACAACTAACTGAACGTCGTGAATCCGGGCATGTAGCCCAATCACTGTCACAATAACCAACTAAAGAAAAGTCAGCAGAGTTATTCAAGAAAAGTCCAGCTTCAGAAGTCCCTTTTAGGTATCACAGAACATGTAGAGCTGCAGTCATGTGGGGGACTCTAGGAGATTGAAGGAATTGACTAAGATGTTGAACAGCAAAGCAAAGGTCTGGACGATTGTGTGTAAGAAAATTAAGTTTCCCAATAAGACTCCTATATGTATCAGGCTTAGGTAAAAGCTCTCCAACATTAGACTTCAGTTTGACAGTTAAATCCAAAGGACATATAACAGAAGAAGCTTCAGAACAACTAAATTCATCCAAAAGCTCAGAAATGAACTTTTTTTGGTGCAACAGAACACCAGACTGATAATAATGAATCTGTATTCCCAAAAAATAGTTAAGAAGCCCTAGATCCTTTATTCAGAATTGCTCATCCAAAAAGTCTTTTAATGTTGAAATTTTGGTCAAATCATTACTAGTTAAGATGATATCATCTACATACACAGCAAGAAAAACAATAGAGTTCTCTGATCGTCTCACAAACAAAGAATAATCATTTAAAGAATAGGTATAACCTCTGGAACAAAGTGCTTGGGACAACTTGGCATACTATTGTCTAGAGGCTTGTCGAAACCATAAAATGATTTGTTTAATTTGCATACCAGATGAGGAATAGAAATGGTAGCTGCAGCAGAGGAAGAGACAACAGACAACCCTTGGGGAAGTTTCATATACACTTCTTCATTCAAATCACCATGCAAAAAGGCATTGTTAACATCTAGTTGAAAAAGAGACCATGATTATTTAACTACATAAGTAATGAGACATCTAATAGTGCACATTTTTACTATAGGGGAGAAGGTCTCATGAAAATCAATGGCTTCTACCTGTGTATCCCCCCTCACAACTAGCCTCATTTTGCATCTTTCTACACTCTCATCAGCCTTATATTTGATCTTATACACCCACTTGCAACCAATTGCTTTCTTCCCCTTTGGTAGCTCAGCAATTTCCCAAGTCTTATTTGCTTCCAATGCCTTAAACTCCTTCCTCATGGCTTCCTGCCAAGATGGACTAGTAGCAGCCTGAGTATATGAGTGGGGCTCAACTGCAACAGTTGATGCAACAGAAGTGGAGGTAGCAGAAGAACAAGAAATAGATGGAGGAAGCTAAACCACGTAATCTTGAAGGTGGGAAGGAAGCTGACGAGATCTAGTGGATCTCCTTAGCTCAGGGAGAGGAGCAGCAGGGGAAGGAACTGGTTCGGATGGGACAGAAATAAGGAAGGATGGAGGATCAGATCCAGAATATAACAAGGAAGAATTGAAAGAAGTAGGGGAAACAGAGGAAATAGGAGTGGAAGAAGGGAAAGAGTCCATAGTCTCATTGAAAATAGTGGAAGGAATAAGAGATGGAGAGGTAAGAGAGGGAGAGGAATTAAGATGAAGAGGGAAAATAGACTCATGAAAAATGACATCCCTAGAGACAAAAACAGATTTGGTGTGCAAGTTATAAAGCTTATACCCCTTCTTGCCAAAAGGATAACCAATAAAAACAGAAGGAACATCCCTTGGTTGGAATTTATGTCTATGACATTTAGGCACGATTGCATAACATAGACATCCAAAAGGTTTTAAGTGAATGTAAGAAGGAACGGTACCATATAACATTTCAAATGGTGTCTTATTGGATAGGACAGAAGAGGGAAACCTATTTAAAAGATACGTAGCCGTTAACACACAATCCCCCCCAAAACTTTGGTGGAAGTTTGGATTGAAATAATAAAGCTCTAGATGTTTCCAATAAATATTTGTGTTTTCTTTCAACACCACCATTTTATTGAGGTGTGTGAACACAAGTTGTTTGGTGTAAGATTCCATTGTCAGAAAAAAATTGGCAAGAGTTAGAAGAACCATGTTCCAGGGCATTGTCACTTCTAATTGTCTGGACATGAAGGTTAAATTGTATCTTAACCATTGCAAGGAATGCTTTAAGAAGAGTAAAAGCATTGCTCTTAGAAAATATTAAATGTGTCCTAGTAGCTCTACAATAGTTAAGAAATATCTAGCACCAGAATAAGTTTGGGTATGATAAGGTCCCCATGTATCAATATGAATAAGCTGAAATAAAGAAGTAGAAAGAGATGTGCCATCTGGGAAGCGCAATCTAGCTTGTCTAGCTAAAGTATAGATAGGACAAGTAAACGACTATTTGGGAGACAAATCAGAAGATATAGAAGATATACACTTCATCTTCACAAAAGGCATGTGACCCATTCTGTGATGCCAAAGTACATCAAGTTTATTCAAAGAAGCAGAAGAAGAAAACATAGTGTCATTCACTTGTTGTACAGTTTCAGTTAAAGAAGGAATAGGAAAAACATTCACACTGCTTACAACAATATTCAAGGCTGAACTAGGGACATTATCCAAACTTTTCACGGCATTGTTCAAAGCAGAAGTAGAAATTTGTATCACATTGTTTAAGGCAGAATTAGAAGGGAAATGATAAAGCTTATACAATCCTTGGTCCAATCTACCAAGTACCAGAAGCTTCTTCCTCGAAAGGTCCTTTATCAAATAGGAAGAAGTGAAAAGGACTATACTGTTAAATTGTTGAATTAACCTGTATACAGAAATGAGGTTGTATTTGAAAGTAGGAATGTAAAGTACTTTGTGTAGAGTGAAAGTAGAAGATAAAGTGAGTGATCCTATATAAGCAACCTTCACTTTATATCCATTAGGCAAAGTAACCAAGTAAGGGACAGAAAGAGGTGATATCAATTAGAAGTTCTTTATCAGGGGTCATGTGGTAAGTCGCTCCCGAGTCTACTATCCAAACACTTTTTGCCACACTGGTCAACATGCATGCAGAATAAGCAACATGATTAAACTTAGGCAAAGGGAGATTACTACCAACAAAGTTGGCAAAACCCATAAGATTGGGCTGAGTGGTGGAAGCAAGAAGATTGGACTGTTGCAGCAGATTCATGAGCTGGGAGTATTGTTCCTTAGTAAGACCAGGCACCAAAGAATCCGGACTAGTGGAAGCACATGGTGGACCAAATTCAGGATTCTCGGAAGATGAAGACTCAGCATTTGCAGCAGTACCAAATTTTCTGCCCTTAGTAAACTTGAAATGTTGAGAAAATCCATTCAATTTGTAGCATTTGTCAATAGTATGTCCACTCTTCTTACAGTATTTACAAAAAAGAGAACCCTTGTTCTGTTCAAAATTCACCCTCTGATTATTTGTATCAAAATTAACCTTCTAATTGAATTGTCTTTGTAGAGGAAATTTAGTGGTTGCATTGACATTAAAGGAAGCCAGATCAGGAGAAAATTGAGTATTAGGAATCACTTGTCTTTGCTTTTCATCTTGCAGAAGAATGTTGTATACACTATTCAAGTGAAGGAAGTGGATTCATCATCAGTATATTACTTCTTACAGTGACGTATATTTCATTGAGACCCATTAAAAACTGGTGGACTTTGTTCTCTTCATCTTCCTTTAGGGAACCATGTTTTGCAGCACAAGTACAATTCTTAGCATGATCTGATCCCATGATCTCCAGTTCATCCCAAAGTTTTTTTAATTTGTTAAAGTATGAGGCTATGTCAAGAGGGGTCTGGCATGTGGAAGCCAATTCTTTCTTTATTTCAAATTTTTTTGTCCCATTAACCGTCCCATATCTATTATTTAACTGCTTCCATGTACTTTCGGCGGTGTCAGAATACTGTACACTCTCAGCAATTTCAGGAGAAAGAGAACTGGTTAGCCAGGAAATAACCATATTGTTACACCTATCCCATTGTTTGAACTAGGGAGATCTTTCAGCTGGTTTAGGACATGTACCATCAATGAATCCTATTTTATTTTTGGATGACAACGATACAATTATGCTCCTTCTCCATCCACCAAAACCAGACCCAGCAAAAGGAACATTAACAAGTGACATTCCAGGAACGTCGGAGGAGTGAATGAATAGAGGACTAGAAGAATGAGGAGTAAAATCAGAATCACTATCACTAGAGCTTCCCATTTTTAGAGTAAAATGAAACAGGAAAACTACTAACCCAGAATACCAAAACAATTATCCGAAAATCGGCATCTACATGAATCAAATCTACACATGCAAATACTAACAATAGAAGAGCAAGTTTTTCAGAATAACTCAGTCCGCAGTCATAGAAGAATATGAAGAGTGTGATAGTTTACCACCCTTCTTCGTAACCGAAAGACGCACAACCTTCAATTATCAAAAAATCACAGCAACAGATGAAGAGAAATACCACCAAAACGCTGATTGAGTGGAGAAAAGTGAATGAGAACTCTGAATCCCATAAGAAAAAAAATACCGGTGAACGACGAGCAGAGAAACCGACGAAACTCAGAAACTTCGGCGAAATAGGTCGAGGGTACCACCGCTCGAAAGATGATGGTGAGATATCTCAAAATCCTCACTCTGATACCATGTGAAAACTCGAATTGAAGTGTAGATCGAAGAAAAACAATCTAGGGCTTGAGAGCTTTTGAGAACGTTCTGGAGTAAGACATTTCTTCTATTAGCCAAAATGGCAAAAGTTGTAAAATGAGCTTCAAGTCACCTACTTATACAATGGGCCAAAGTGAAAAATAAAGGAAATTTTGCAGAAAGCACCATCTTTTAGTCCTAATTAGTCATTTATAAATACCTTTTGCTATATTACGCTCTATAGATATCTTTTATGTTTTTATACAATGTATTTCATGTATTTAAACGGTTGTATTCATTAATACAAGAAAAAAAATAGGCGTAAAAACGGGAAATCCAGCTAAGTGTTATCTGTATTTAACTGTATTCAAGCGAAATTTCAGCTGTATTTAACTGTATTCAAGCAAAATTTCAGTGAAATACAGTAACTTTTTTGCGCAAATTCTGGGAACTTAAACTTGTTAAAAACGGAAGAAAATCAAATCACATGATAGTCTCCTAATTTAACTCAAAGAACTAAAACGAGTACACACTAATTTGTATTTTGCTCAAAGAAAGCAACTCAAAAACGTGAAAAGAAGGAAAAACCAGAGCAACACATCTGATCGAACTTCTCAATTCTCTTCTCCTTTTTTTCTATTGAATACAGCTTAATAAAACTCTTGAATGCAACAAAATACAACTAACTTCTGCTGAATAAAATAGTTGAATATAACTAACTACAACTGAATACAACTGAATACAGTTGTATAAAACACTTGAATACAACTAACTACTGCTGAATAAAATAGTTAATTACAACCGATTAAAACTGAATACAAGAGAATAATCACAACTTTTTAATACATCTAAAATATATAAATGAATGTTGCTGAATACATGTGAATACAGTTTCACCTCTTTCATCTGTAAACATGGCTTTCGACAAAATCAAGGTTGAAAACCCTATCGTTGAGATGGACGGTTAGATCTCTTTCTCCTCTACTTTCTCTATCTCTATATTTCTTCCGTTTTTCTTGCTGAAATTTGTTGTTTTATAGATCTGTTTTTGTATGCCAAATAATAATAAAGATTGATTATGCTGTGAAAATACAAAGAGGACAAAGAATTTAAGTAACGTGGGTATGTGGGAGAAGAGAGTAGAGGTGACAATGGCGGAGAAATAGAGATTTAGGGTGGGAGAAGATTTATGAAACGTAGGTTTGTGGGAGAAGAGGTTAAAGTATATGGAAGAAGAGAGAGAAAAGCTGGTAAGAGGAGATATACGCTAATTAGGTGAGAGAAAATATAAAAAATGAGAGAAAAATATTTTGTAGCATATATGGTGCCTTAATTGTAGGATGGAACTATATTTAGATTTTTTGCTATAAACTATAAAAGGTATTTATAGGATGTAATATTTTAAAATGGTATTTATTTAATATAAATAGGGTACTAACCTATTCTATAGGTGGTAAACTAACAGACCACTTTTAGGCCCAAATACAAAAATACACATAAATAAGGGGCATTTGCATCTATACCCGCTTTTTGGGTCACGTTTTAACTTGTGTCCGCTTTACAAAAATAATTGCAAGCGTACCCACTTTTTCGCGTAACTTCAGCATACGAGGCTGAAGTAGCAAAGACAACCACGCAAAACTCCAGCATTCTAGTAGACGGGACTGAAGTAGTAAGTGTGCTGAAGTTTTTATTTGTAATTGTTGAACTTAAGCATAGTAGCTGAAATTTTGTTCTCTATTTGCTGAAGTTTTTGTTTGTAATTGCTGAAATTTTTATTTTTGCAACTGGCGAACTTCAGCTCTAGAGCTGATGTTTTTGTTTTTGTAACTGGCAAACTTCAGCTCTAGCGCTGATGTTTTTGTTTTGTAACTGGCGAACGTGAAGTTTTTGTTTTGTAACTGGCGAACTTCAGCTCTAGAGCTCTAGGGGGCATTTCGCGTCTCCTTTTGTTTATCCTCAACTCTGCTTATATTCCCTACTGTCTGTTTCATAAATTTTATGCTGGCATGTTGTTTTGGTCCAGTTGGGTAACTAGTCCTCCCACTATTGAGAATTCCATCTCAGTGATATTCCAGTAGTCCATGCTCTTGGTTGTTCATCTAATGATGCAGGAATTGCATCTGATGTCTCTGTTCAGGTATGTGATGCAAAGAAAGACTTTCAAAGAGTAGGAATTGATAACTTGTAAACAAAACAAGAGAAGGTAACATTTAAGAGTACACCAAGACAGAGAACTTGCCCCCTTGTTTGACGAAATTCACCTTCCCGCCTAGTTTCATGAACCTTACTTCTAGAAAAAAAAAAGATAAAATTTTGAGGAGAAAAAAGAGTGCTGAAGTTATTTAAAAAGTAAGTACAAGTTAATCTGCACAAGCCCAATACTAATTGTGTTCACTGTGTCACTCCAACAGAGATATTCAGAGAAGTTCGTTTCATTGAAATGTGACAGCTTTAACATTAAATAGTGATAATTTTATGCACTAGATATTGACACCGTGGACGCAAAATTGGTACTTGTTACAGCAGAATGAAATCACACGGGAGTTGTTTGGTTAATCGGTTGTAAAATACATTACGTACGGACTGTAATTCAAGAATTTGTAATGCATTAGTTATTTTTATTGGATATTCGGTTGTAAGAATGTTAGACCTTATTAAATTACTTGATTAGACTTTTGCGATCCATGATTTTGGTGACATTCATGATTTTACGCGTATCTTGACATGTAGACATAATGATATAATTTTCTCACGCTATCTGAAAATGAAATATCTTATTTATTGTTGAAAGGATTTTTGGAAAAATCACAGTTTTCAAGCTTACTCATATTATTTTTTTTGCAATTTCGATAAAATATTTGGGTTTTCACTGAGATACTTGAAAAGTATGCCTATTTTTTCTGGAACTGTGAATGAGCTGAGCATTCTATTTCTGAGATACTTCTTTTATTACTTGCATTATGTTGTTATGAACTGTTGTTTGCTATTGGTGTCAGATCCGACCTTTGTTCCAACTCGTCATTACTTTCAATCTAAGGTTAGGTTTATTACTTATTGAGTACATGAGGTCGATTGTACTCATATTACACTTCTGCAACTTGCGTGCAGATGTTGGATGCTGATATTGCTGTGTTCGACGGGAGCTGGAATTGAAGACGTGCCTACATTCCGGTTGTAGCTGCCTCTTGTTCATGGTAGCCTTAGATTCATAAAAATCTGTTTATGTATATTTCGAATAGATGATGTATTTATTTCGTACCAGCTTTGTAAATTCTAATCTTAGAAGCTCATGATTTGTACTATCAGTCCTTGGAGAATGTATCAGATTTAGATATTTTCTTTTATTTAATTGTCTTATTAATTTCATTGAAATTTGGTTAGTTGTTAATTGGCTTACCTAGCAGGTTGGTTAGGTACCATCACGACTAGTTGGATTTTGTGCCGTGACAAACATTCCCTAGGATTTGGCCTTATTTGCCTATTTTTGTTATGTGATAGTAACGCGCACGCGAGGTGACGAGCGTGTATAGGGGTGATATTTGTGGTTATGACCGGATTAGACCTTAAACTATTAATATGCCTTAATTTGATGATATGATTTATATGAAACATATTTAATCACTTTGTGACTACATGAACTTGATTGCTAAAATTGATTTAGTCGTAGTCATGCTTTATATATTGACCTCCGATATGCAATTTATTATTGTCATTCCTTGTGCGGCTTGTTGACAATTTATAATTTATTATTGTCATTCCTTGCCAATTATTGTTTTCCGGGTAAATTTTACTAATGCTCTTTCAAGTTAAGGTTTGTAACATAAAAATCTTTCTTTTCTTTTCTTTTTTTTAACATAAAAATCACCTCAATTTCCCACTATGTTAAAGTCCTACATAAATAGGAGATTAATTATGACAAATAGGCCAATTCAACTCAAGATGGCCGCCGTATGATTAGAGTAGTGAAGGGTGCAATAAATTGTATAGCCGCGCACTTCTCGGTTAAAGAACAAAGACTGAGAAACCCAACCAGTCAATCGCTAGCTAGCATGCCTTTCCATTTACCATCTTGGAAGTAAATCCACCATAAATATATTGCACTCTTTCTCTAATTCCCGGTGCCACTATAAATGCAGCAACTGCTCTACATAGTGTGATATATATATATATATGGCAAACTTATAGTTCCTTATTTAGTGTATCAATGAAGCTATTGATCGACTCCAAAACCAAAAGAGTAATGTTCGCAGAGGCTGGGAAAGAGTGTATTGATTTCCTATTTCACATTCTGGCATTGCCAATAAGTAGTGTCATTAGGCTACTGACAACCAAAGGGATGGTTGGCTGCTTGGGTAACTTGTATGAAAGCCTTGACAATCTGGATAATATGTACATTCAACCAAATCAGGAAAAGGACACTCTTGAAGCCTAAGTCAGCAGCCTATGCTACTTCAGGCCCTCTGTTGTTGCTCACTGACTCCCCTGTTAAGAAACCGTTTTATACGTGCTATAATTACTATGTTTACATGACTGATGATCCTCGAAAGAATTGTCTTTCATGTTGGCGAACTAAACTGGAATATGTAACACCCACTGCAGAAAATGAGGTAGCATCCAGTGGAGGTTTTGTAAAGGGGGTTGTGACTTATATGGTATTGGATAACTTGGTTGTCTACTATTTCAAGCATCACTCTGCTGAATGAATTCAGCGTTAAGGATGTTGGGGTTCTTAAAGAGAAAGTTGTCACTCTTGGAATGGATGAGGTATATAAATTCCTACTTCATGTCTTCATACTTAAATATGATGTCTCACTCTGTAAATCCGATCCTTATCTTTTTCATTCCATATAAATATTATAGACACAAACATGCACACTGAATTTATATTCTGAACAATCTAAACTTTAAGTGGATTCCATTAGTGATCTGATGTTGAATTTGGAATCTCACAAATTGATTAATCAATGAGAGTTGCAAAACTGAAATGAAATATTGATTGTCTGGGATCCTAGCTTTTTCATTCCATAAAGTCGGGCATATTCTTGAATAACGCCATTCTTGTTCCCGGTAGACTCCTGAAAATGGATTATTTCCTTGTTTTTTGACAGGCTCTATTGCTGTTGAAGACTTCTCTGCAGTCAAAGAAGGTCTTGACGGATGTTTTCATGGCCGATATTTTAAAATATTAAATGCCTTTTGTTGTTCCAGCAGATTGAGAATTGAACTGAATTACATTCCTAGGTTATATATTCTAGAGTACTTTGGTTGCTTTTTTTTATTATGCACTTGATATTGACACCGTGGAAGAAAAATTGGTACGTCTTGTTATAGCAAAATGAAATCACTCGGGAGTCGTTTGGTTCAGTGGTTGTAAGGGTGTGTTGTTTTGGTGTTTAATCTATTTTATTTCATACTTATATTATAGTAGGTACAAAACAATATCGTAATATCATATCAAATGCAGGATAAAGCAATATCAAATTTTATATCATGATTATTTCCTCTAATACATCAAACCAAATGAGTCCTAAACGTTGGAGAAAACTACTCTCACAAAACTAAATTGGTTTTGTGAAATCTGTTCTCTTCTACATCTAATAACTTCAGTATTTACAGCCAATATTAGCTTTGTTGTTTTAAAACTAAAAGAAAAACTAAATAGCTGAGTGAAGCAACTTGGACCTATTCCATCTATGTAGCACTCTACCAAAAACATCATAGTACTTGATCTCAGCTTCTGTTGGTGTTAACTGGACAGACATGAAACCTTGTCCATCGTGGAAAAAGTTCACGTCTTCTCTATTTAATCCTTTCACATCTCCTCTCCATGCCTTTGACCCTGCCCCACTTGTTAAAAATTGAATCGGACTGCAATTTCAACCAAAATATACACAAAAACAAGAGAAAAGTAAGATATTATTTTAATTTATTTTTTTAAAAACGTGTTGAATATCAAAGTATTGAACTGTACTTGCAAGATTTGAACTTTACTCTTACCTTTCGGTGTCGCTAATATGTTCAAGGCAGTGATCGTGTCCATTCATGTAAAAATCAACATTGTATGCCTGACAATTTAACGAGAGAGAGAGAAATCAAAGTTAAAGACTCGGCAAGAAATTAAAAGTGCAATTGATATAATTAAGAAAAGTTACGTACCCTAAGCATAGGAAGAAGGCGATCCACAAGTACTTGAGTGTCGCCATGATGCCCAACACTTCTAATGGCGTGATGCCCTACTACTATTTTCCATCTCGCCCTCGATTCACTCAAGGCTTTTTCAACATCCTAATTTTAAACAAATAATTTAAAATTTATAATATTATCTTGGGAAATCTTAAAATGAAAATACTACTGACTAGAAAAGATAAGAAAAGCCTAAGTTCAACTTACTTTTAATATGTTCGCAGTGTATGTGTTTGGAGGGATCACACCTCGCCAGTCATAGGTATGATCCTTAGGATTCGTGAAATAATCTTGCACGAATGGAGTTGTATCCACCATGAATATTTCAGCAATTTCTTCAAAGAACAAAAAGGAGAAAACATTTTTATTTTTGTTAAAAATAGAAACTTTAAGACTGAGAAATTAAAAGAAGAGATTATGCACCTGCATTAACTATGAAAGACCTTAAACAAAGCCATCTTCTATCAATTTTCCTAAGGTAAGGACTGAGTTGCGCTTCTACATTTCCTCTGTAATCATGATTGCCTAATACTGCAGAAAATTACAATTTTAAGACCAATTCAAATGTCATATAAAACCGCAGTGTGTTTAATTAATATTTGGGAACTTACCACTATACCATTGTTTCTGTAAGCTCTTTGCTGTATATATATTGGTAAATGACTCTACAAAATTTGGATCGTACACCCCTGTCAATCCGTTATCATAGAAATTATCACCAGTTGATACTACAAAATCAATGTTTAGCTCCTCTCCGATTCTTCCCATCTGCATCCAAAAGAAGTTTATTCAGTACTTTTGCCTAGATCCCTTTTTAGTGAAACAAGCTCATTATATATATAAAAATTATCAATCAAATGAAATGTTGAATTGTGTGACCAACTTATCTAATAATTTAATGCAAAATAGTACCATAGCATATAAAAGTCATGCGTTCAAATTTCACCCCACCAAAGGCGGAGCCAAGCTTTGAACTTTAAGGGTTCTAAATTCTAGGGTAGCAACATCAAATATCAGTAACTAGTAACTGGATTCTGAATTTAACTTTTAGTACATATTTAATAGATCTCTCAATACAAATATAGAATTAAAGCTATTGAATTCAGCCTAACTCGTACTTAACCTTCTAGCTCCGCCCCTAAGCACCACCCTCTGAATTTTCGTATACTTAGGCCCATAAAAAGGTCAGACGGACACATGAGGAAACATTGAAGATATAATTAAACAAATAAAAGTGAGCTCTTTCTAATATATTAAGCTTTTAGATGAGTTGTTCATGCAATTCAATATTAGAAACTCCAAATTAAATTGATGAAAGCCAAAGATAAGAAAAATGGTACCTTTTGAGCTACGTGAGATTGATTAAAGGTGCCCTTTCTTCCCCAGTCACCAAGAACCAAGAAGTTAAGAGTGCCATCACCTTTAGTGGGGTGATCAAATTTCTTAAGCCTAACACCATTTGCACAAGAGATTACAAAAACAATGACTAGCCAAAAGCACAGAACCATGGAATTCTTGGAAAACTTTGCCATGGCTCTGTGTTGAGATTGACAAACAGAGGAAATCTAACAAAGAACCACAGATAATTTTACTCAGCCCCTATCCCTTTTAGTTTTTTTTTTATTTAATTTTTTTATTTTCTATTTCAATTACGCAATATATTTTATTTGCCTGAGCTCTTCACGGATCATGAATATATATAGAAGTAAGCAGGAGTGAAAGTGGGAGTGGGAATGGGAGAGCGAGAGAGTCGGTGCAACAAGGGAAAATAGGATGAAAAGTTCATGCAAACCTTTATGGTTTAACGTATTTAGAGGATCGTTAGGATTAAATTCTAAAGAGTAAAAAAATAAGATAATAATAATAATAATAATAATAGAATGGAGGAAAATAATCTATGAGAAGGTGGTAGTTCTGTTAGTTTTGTATTTTTTTCATGGATAAATCGAAATAGGGAGGGGGATTAGTTTTTGCAAAATGAGTGGATATTATTATTTATACGGTATTTATACCAAACCACGAGATGCATGACATATGTTAAGTATAAGCTTTTGCAATCCATGATTAACTAACATATATTTAACCTTATTAAATCACTTAACTACGGTAAATTAATCAGATGCAAGTAAATATGTTAGATCCTTGTTTTGAAAGAAAAATACTGCATCTTATTTAGCATAATAGTAGTTACTCTAAAATTCGGAATTAAGAAAAATTTGGAAACACTTAACCCGACAATTCATCAGGAAAAAACAAAAACGAATTATATGTTCTCGTTTTTCACTATAAATATTTCATTCAACTATTTCCTCAATATATGCTTGACACAGGCCCACAGCATATCAAAATCTGTACCAACACACATACATAACAACTATGCGACTAAACTGGAATTTTTTTATCGCACAGGGAGAGTGATTAAGCCACATTCATATCATACTACAGGAAATCAAAACTTTGTTCAGAATAGAAACGTTAATTTCTTGAAACCAAAATCAATATAAGTCAACATCCTCCCTTTTATTGGAAGAATTCCACATGCCATTAGACCATTCTTGATGAAATCTCAACACATGAGAAGGATATGCAATTTTATCCCCAGTAGTAGGAAAGTAGACATAGCACTTTGTTCCAATTTTCCAATATATAAATCCAATCCACCAGCCATCGTTGTCAAATACATCAACCATATCGTACATGTGAAAGTCGTTTTCTGGCGTAGTTTCATTTTTATCAGGTGGCAGAGGGCGGACCTCGGCGGCAGTGACAGTCTCCTCTAATGGCGCAGACTTATCATCAGTCAACAGAGTCTTGTACTTGACTCTGTACTGAAAATTAGTGCAATCGAAAGAAACAATAGTTGCGGTGTAGTAAGAGCCTATGAAGCCATATTCTTGACTTGCCACATCAACTTGATCACCCTTTTGGAATAATTTTCTTGTCTTGAATGCTAATGCTTTTATTGTCTGTGAGAGCATCGCCATTCTGAATTGGTGCTTCTTGAAATTAAGTGTGGTTTTAGGTGGGGCCATTGCGAATCTACGGAGTAATTGTTGAATGAAAAGTGAGGAACCTTGAGGCTTTGCAAGTGAATTTATAGGATGAGAATTTGGTTTCCTTAGGGAATTGTTTTCCTGTTTAATTTGGTTTCCTTGAATAACCAGGAATTGGAATTTGGACTTGAATTGGCAAGGGTAAAAAAGGAAAATACCAAGAAAGCGTTAATTGCCTTTTTCTGGTAGACCTGGTTATATATGGAAAGTTACTCGTTAAAAATCTAGTAGAAGTACACCGAAACTATAAGGGTCTGTTTAGAAAGCCATGTGTAATTACTTGATGGTGTAATTACTTGAACAGTAATTAGACACACTAAAAATTACACTGTATAATATGTTCGATGATCTTTTTATTTGCCACAATATAAACACACTGTAAATTTCATTATCATATTTGTTTGGACAAGTATAATTACATAGTTAAATAAACATTTTTAGATTAATGTTTGAATAATTTACTATATGACAAACATATATGTAAATGATAAATATCAAAAATAATTTACTATGAGATATTTAAAATAAATATTATTCTAAAAACTTATTAAATAATTATAAAGTGATAAATAATATCATAAAAATCATCTGTATCTTATAAACAAATAATATCATTCCATAAATTAATTAATTGAAACGCCAATAACGAATATAATCTTCTCACCTACTCGTGTGAATATAAGAAAGTTATATATGAGCTTAGAAAATATTTTTTATGACAAATATTTATACTAATGACTAGAAAATAGAACTACTAAAATATAAAGAAGTAAAATTTAATGTGATTAACATGTATGCACACATAAGAAATATTATATATTATCTATAACTATGTAATTTAATTGTATACTTTTAATAAAAATATTAAATAATTATAAGTTAGTAACTAATATTGAAAAAAATGATCTGTATCTAACTATCTTTCAACTAACTAATATTTTAATTTAAAATAATTAATAAAAGTTTTAATTATGATTTTAATTTTTTTATCAACTCAAATGAATACTTATAATATAAAATCTATTATTTGTTTCACTATTTAAATAACAAAAGGATAGACATGAATTTAGAAGGTATTGTTTCTTAATATTTATTTTATACTGTTGAATAAAAAATAAAGTTAGTAAAATATGAAATTGTTGTTAACAAAAAAATTATAAAAAAAAAAGAAATAAAATAAAAGAAGTCGGATAATTATATGAAAGTACATATAAGCAACACGTTGGAAGGTTAGAAAATGAGAATAAGAAAAATAGTGTAAAAGAATACTAAATATATTTAAAAATAAAAACAAAAGAAAAATAGATAATTATACGTATTAATTTCTAATTACACAGTATAATTACCACTAATTCTCACCTCCCCTTTGAGAATTGGAAAGTGCAATTATCCCTTCAATTACACTAATTTCATGCTTACCAAATAATACATAGTTACACTACAAAAAAAGCTTATTTTGTGGGGGTTTATTTGTGGGAGTTATAAGAACCCCACTATAAGATCATTTTGTGGCGTTTATTTTATCCCCCGCAATATAATTCTTTTTGTGGAGATTTTATTGTAGAGGTTTTTTATAACCTCCACAAATTGCATCAGATTGTGGGGGTTTCCAGAATACTAGAATT